ATATAGGAAACTAAGAACTTTAGCCTTGGGAGGCATAAAATGGTGGTAGAGCTAGACTCGATCAGGGCCACATGGAGAAATGCTTGTGACATAACATTGAGAGGAAAGGAAGAAAAGTGTGTAAAATGAGGAATATATTCTACTTCTTTAGAGTTAATTAGTCTTTGTTTTCCCTCTGGACAAGCAATGGTTGTTTTTTTCTCTTTTATAAATGCATAGAGACTTTATTTTCTTGGGCTCCAAAATCACTGCAGATGGTGACTGCAGCCATGAAATTAAAAGACATTTGCTCCTTGGAAGAAAAGCTATGACCAACCTAGACAGCATATTAAAAAGCAGAGACATTACTTTGCCGACAAAGGTCCATCTAGTCAAACTTCGGTTTTCCCAGTAGTCATGTATGGTTGTGAGAGTTGGACCATAAAGAAGGCTGAGCACCAAAGAATTGATGCTTTTTAATTGTGGTGTTGGAGAAGACTCTTGAGAGTCCCTTGGACTGCAAAAGCTCAAACCTAGTCCATCCTAAAGGAAATCAGTCCTGAATATCCATTGGAAGGACTGATGCTGAAGCTGAAGCTCCAATCTTTTGGTGATCTGATGCAAAGAACTGACTCACTGGAAAAGCCCCTGATGCTGGGAAAGATTGAAGGCAGGAGGAGAGGGGGACGACAGAGGATGACATGGTTGGATGACATCACCGACTTGATGGACATGAGTTTGAGCAAGCTCTGGGAGTTGGTGATGGACAGGGAGGCCTGGTGTGCTGCAGTCCATGTGATCACAAAGAGTCGGACATGACTGAGTGACTGAACTGAACTGAGAGACCTTTATACAGAGAACATCTCAGAAAACTTCTTGGCCATAGATGCTAAAAGGGGAAATGTTCAGATGGTTAGACAGCATCTTGCATGCAATAAATCCTCAAAATCTATTTCCTGCATATTTGTCCTCTCCCAGTTTGTCCTATGGAGCTTTAGAAGGAGCCAGGATACAGCAAAGCAAAGAGGCAAAATCAACCTGTAGAAACTACCCTATCTAGTTTTCCCAAATCAGTGAACAGTACCAGGTGTTCCAACCAAAATCACCCATTTCTCTCTTCTCCTAACTATTCACATAGAATCCATAAGCAAGTTCAGTTGATTCCATCCCCAAGTATATCTGGAATAATGTCATTCTCTTCCACCTCCATGGCCACCACCCGACTTGTGTAACCTCTCCACCTGCTCCCGCTTCAACAATTCACATTGTGAGTTAGCATTTCCTGCTTGGAAATCTTCTGAACAATGTTTCATGGCAGCTTCTTCGTCACTGTTTCTCAGCATCAATCGTGTCTTGACTGCGTACTCAGTCTCTATCCCATTCCCCTTCTTTAAGGTTTGCTCTATAACAGGTCACTCTTCCTGATTGATGGATAAATCATTGACAGTTTGTCTGCCATTCCTGTTAGAATGTAACACAATAGGAGTGGGGTCCTTGGCTGCTGTATTCACCAAAAAATTCCCAAAGACAAGACGGAGATAACACATGGCAGGCCTATAGTAAATTCTTGATGAATAAATGAATAAGCCGAAACACTCAGTGTATATCCTCCACCAGACTGTGAGCATCTGGAGAGGAGACTCAACGTTGTGCCTGCTTGCATCCCTAACTTCTGGTGCACGCAGTGTTGTTTAGTCACTCGATCCTGTCTGACTCTTTGTGACCCCACAAGGGTCAGCCATGACCCTCAGCCCACGAGGATCCTCTGTCCATGGGATTTCCCAGGCAAGGAGACTGGAGTGGGTTGCCATTTCCTTCTCTGGAGGATCTTCCTGATGCAGGTATCAAACCCACATCCCCTGCACTGGCAGGTGGATTCTTCACGCTGAGCCACTGGGCTGAAGAACCAGCACACACAGTAGGGCATCAACAAAGCCTGTTGGGTTAATGAAAATCACGGCATGCATCCCTTGGGACTGTACTACATACAGGGGTAGAGATTACAAGCAGAGAGGCCACTCTCAAGCCTCCTCCCTCCATAAACAATTACCCTAATTATGTTCATAGAAGGCATTTACAAAAAGTTGACCATGTGTCAGGAGTGTCTCACATGCTTTACCCATACTAACTCATCTTTTTTTTTTTTTAATTTCTTTATTTTACTGAGGTCAGCATACATTTTTGGCCTTCCCTGATAGCTCAGTTGGTAAAGAATCTGCCTACATGCAGGAGACCTGTTTCGATTCCTGGGTCAGGAAGATCTGCTGGAGAAGGGATAGGCTGCCCACGCCAGTACTGTTGGGCTTCACTAGTGGCTCAGCTGGTAAAGAATCCGCCTGCAACGTGGGAGATCTGGGTTCAACCCCTGGGTTAGGAAGATCCCCTGGAGAAGGGAAAGGCTACCCACTCAAGTATTCTGGCCTGGAGAGTTCCATGGCCTGTACAGTCCGTGGGATCACAGAATCAGACATGACTGAGCGACTTTCACTTTCACTTCACTTTCAAGCATATACTTTACATGAGATGCATCCTTAATACGTATTTAAGTGTAGCCCACAATATTGTTATCTACAAGCACACAGTTATGCAGCGGGTCACTTAATTATTTTAACAGCCCCATACATAGATCAGGAGCTAACTTCATGCCCACTTTAGCAATAAGAATACTAAGGCACGGACAGGAAGAGTTAGAGCCAAGTCCGAATTTAGACTCATCACCGGGGCTCTCAGAAGCTCATCCACTTTGCCCACCTGTCCCGACCACCACCTTTCTGTCTAAGTTCTGCTTACCTTCAGGATGACCCTATCCAAAGCCACTAGCCCTAAGTGACACTCATGTAAATCAATTACAGTTACATACATATGAAAATCCAGTTCTTTGGTGACATTAGCAAGGCTGTCTGTCAATAGCCACATGCAACTTGCTGCTACCTTATCAGAGTGCACAAAGAATCTCTCTTTTGTGGCAGAATATTCTCAAATGCACTGCCTTGGAACATGGATCCTTCAAGGGCAAAGATCATATCATACATTTATCATAATTTTTGGTAAGATGAAAGGGTCAGCTCCAATAATTAACATAGCAGAAATCCATTAATAAATATTCAACATTCATTCCTGAGGCATGTCTTTATCTCCTGGTGGCAAATTGGGATACCTTGTCACTAATAAGCAAGTGTTCATGTGGGTCTTACTCTCTACTCCTCCTAAGGAGGAAGGTTTAAGCCCTTCCATTCCCAGTGTTGCTCACTGCACCCCATGCAAGAGCCAGCTTCCTTTACCTGCTTATTCTCCTCCTAATTGGGGATGTTTATTGTAGTCTTTGTTCTTACGTCTTTTTCTCAACAAATATTTCTAACTGTTTAGCAGTTCTGCACTTTCAAAACCCAGGAGAGAAAGCTTGAAGTCAGGATCTATAAAAAATGTCTGCAACACTCAAAGCAAAGTCTTCCAAGATTGTGATTCTATTTTTTTTGTTAAATTTTCTTCAGTAGCTATCTTCAAATCCCATAGCATTCTAATGGATTTTCAGAAGCATGTTAATCAAGACCTGCTGCTTCATTGGCAAGAGCCAGAGATATTTGCAACATATTTGCAACTGTTCAGTAAAAGCAACATACGTGAAGGTCCTACTATGTGCCAGCCTTCTGTTAGGCACTGGGACTTTGGAAAGTTCCTACTATGTCTCTGGTCTGATGCTAGGAACTGGGCGTTTGGAGGTGGTCTCTGGACATCCAAGGGCTCCCCAACTTATGGAAGAGTGGGACATATGAATTTCCATTCATTCCTTCACTCATTCAATCAGTATTTATCAAGTACCTACTGTATGCTGAGCATTGTGCTAAGCAGTGGTATATAAGAGTGTGCAAAACAGCATGAATTCCTGCCTTTTTAGAAGTTGTAGTGGGGAAGACAGTCTATGAGCAAGTAATATACAAATATGCAATATATCACATGCTGATAAGCAATGTTAAGAAAATCAGGCAGAGAGCAGAGCTTGTAAGGGCGGTACTAGGCCCAGGGGCAGGAGAGGCTCTTTGATGAGGTGATGTGATTAGAGATTAGGGCAGAAGGTGGAGGGGAGTCACAGCCTTGCCCCGGGAGGTGCTCAGCCTTCCCGAGGAGGAATCAGGGTCAGCAGGGGAGGAGGGCATCTCTGCAAAGGGAGAGAGAGTCTCACAGGTGCTAGAAGGACTTTGGATTTGATTCTGAGCGTTCTGAGCGGTTGTGACTTCACAGATTCCCATGTCAGAGAAAGCTCTCTGTACAGAGAACAGACACAGCGGACAAGGATGGAGACAAGGACTCGGCTGGGCGAGAACAACAATGATAACCCTGGGGAGAGGCCACTGGGTCTCAGGCTGGGCTGGTGGAGCCAGCAGGGTCTGCTGATGTCGGGTAGGGGAGGAAGAGAGAGGATGGGAGGAGGACCACACAGTCGGTCAGGATCGCGTGAGAGTCTGCGGTGAGGATGTGCACAGGCCTTAGGGACACACAGAGGATGACACCTGGCCAGGAGGGCCAGAGGTTCCTCGAGAAGTTTGATTTTCTGATAAACAATCTTTTTCTTAATATTGTTGCTGTTGTTCAGTCACTAAGTTGTGTCTGACTCTTTGTGACCCCATGGACTCCAGCAAACCAAGCCTCCCCATCCCTCCGCATCTCCCGGAGTTCACCCGAGTTCGTGTCCATTGAATTGGTGATGCCGTCCAACCATCTCATCCTCTGCCACCCTCTTCTCCTTTTGCCTCAATCTTTCCCAGCATCAAGGTCTTTTCCGATGAGTCAGCTGTGGATATGCCCTATTTGATACTTAGCACATACTCATACTTTCCAGATGGTACAGTGGTAAAGAATCTGCCTGCTAATGCCAGAGAGAGGTTTCATCTCTGGGTCGGGAAGGTCCTTTGGAGAAGGAAATGGCAACCCACTCCAGTTTTCTTGCCTGGAGAATCCCATGGACAGAGGAGCCTGGTAGGCTACAGTCCATGAGGTTGCAAAGAATCAGACACGACTAAGCACACACACAGTTTTACACTAAAAAAGGTATTTATTGTTCATCTGAAATTCAAATTGAACAGGCTGTTCTGTGTTTTATCTGGCAAATGGACCAACCAAGGGCTAAGTGAGGTATTGAAGACTGGTAGGTCTGGGTCATGTAAAGAAGAAATGCGTCTCACGAGGAGGGACTCACTCCTGTCCCTTCTCTGAATTTCTGTGGGGCTTCCAGAGAGCAGGACTCACACATCTGGTGGGTTGTGTGTATGGAGTAGGGAGTGTGGCTGCACATAACCCACGTCCAGGGTCTCCAGAAGTTGGAAATCGCATCAAGGATCAGCGTTCTGGGAAAGCTCCCTTTGACTTAGGTTTAAGAAGAGTTTTCTCTTAAAGCCTAGAGGGTACAAGGCTCATTCATGTACATTGTTCACAGAGGAGAGGCCAAGATGCCCATCACGGGCTCCTTCCTTCCTAAAGGTCTGCCTTGTGTAAGCTGGAGCTGGAATGGACAGGATTTAGAGACGGGTTAATCGTCCGAACCACCTGTGCACAAAATATCCAGGACCGTCTACCGTGTCTTAAGGGATGCTTTCAGTGTTCTGTACAAGTCCACACTCAGGCCTGACGGGCTTCAGGCACTGCTCACTTTTTCTACACTGTTTATCCCCACCCCTACTCCCCCCCCCAAAAAATGGTATCAACAAAGTGAGAAGGGAAGAGCTTGTTGAGCTAAACAGATCGCTTAAACAAACACGGAAAGGTAGCTATGTGTGCTGTGATCAGGGGACAGTGAAGAAATCAGCCTGATCTGAAGGGGCTCGGGAGAGAACAGAAGCTTTGTGTGAACCTTGCTTGCTGGCCACCCGCCTGTCTGTCCACTCTGGTGGGAAGTTTGGAAGACCTTGGTGATGGAAAGAAATAGACAGCGTAGCAGGAGGAACACCAGAGAGACAGGCTGCTTTCCAGAGCCTATTCGCAAAAATAGCCGAGGGTGAGGATGAGAAAACACCCTGCTTTCGTGAGATTTTTATTAAGAAGCAGACTAAGATGTTAAGTAACTGCCTCTTTGAGTGCACATCCTTGGCCAGGAAACAGCCAATGATTTCGGAGAACTGTATTATTACTTTGTGTTTGCTTATCTTTTTCTCTCCTTACCTGATAATCATCTGTAGCTCTATCTGTCTTTTTAAGGACATGTGAGAAAATAGAAAAGGTTACAGAGGACAGTCGAAGAATTGCATATTATTACCTGGCTTTCCAGAGCTGACTATGCAATTGTTTGTTTTTGATGAGATAACAATGAAGATAGAATTGTTCAAAGCAAATGCTGTTCAAATTTCGTGCAGCCAGAGCTCACTGCCCCAGTCTCATGGATGGCTGCTCCCTCCCAACACTGAGGATCTCCCACCCCCATAGTCACCACCAATGGAACAAAGGGTGGGAGGTAAAAGCCCTTTCTCTTTGACCTCATACGTCCATTGGGACCAATGATATTCCTGTGGCATTGGGATGGTGCTAATTTCTGGGTACCAGGTTCTTACTAAAGTCTCCCAAACAAGCCCTTTTTGCTGAACCCTTTATACCTTGCATTTGTGAACTCTTCCTGATTAAACACCCTCCTGCTTTTCCCGATCCACCTGCATTCCTCCAAAAGTGTCTTTTTCCTCTGTAACACTTTCCCCCATCACCCCAGCATATTTCATCACAGTGCCCTTTTTCCCATGGAGGCCACATGTTTCACATTTTAAGGAGGTGTTCCCTCTTCTTTACTCCCAGGTCTACCTTCCCATGGGTCCATGAGCTCCCCAGGGCAGGAACCATGTCTCTGCATTTCTGGAACACTGTGCCTGCCACAAAGTTACCTCTCCTTGGATTTTTGTCCAGTGAATGAATACGTAACAAAATGGGTGAGTTTCCTAGGAGTAGAAAGAGAGTATTATTTCAGGAGCCTTCTATATTCTGTGTGGCAGACTCTCCATCTTATTCCTATAATACTCCTGGATGATTTTGCATTTTAAAAAAGAATCATGTTGACTATTTTTTAAAATTTTTATTAGCATATAGTTGCTTTACAGTGTTGGGATAGTTTCTACCATATAGCGATGTGAGTCAGCTTTATGTATATATTTGTCTCTTTTTTCCTTGGATTTCCTTCCCATTTACATCAGCACTGAGTGTGGTTCCCTAAGCTGTACAGTAGGATGTCACTAGTTATCTATTTTATACATAGTACCAGTAGTATATACGTGTTAATCCCAATCTCCCAGTACACCCCACTCCCCGCCTTTCCCCCTTGGTCCTCATACATTTGTTCTCTACGTCCGTGTCTCCATTTCTGTTTTACAAATAAGGGAATCAGGCTGATTCTTTATGAGTCAGATGACAGATGTGGCACCCCTCCATTAACATAGTGAAGGGAGCAGCTCTGCCTGAGATCAGCCCTCCATACTGTCTTCAGTCTCACCCAGAAAGCAGTACAGGCTCGAGTGAAAGACTCTGGGCTCCCGTGTCCAGCCACTCCGAAAGCACACTCAGGCTCTGTGGCCTCCATTCTTTACAGCCTTGGGGAAATAACCTTTCACTACTCTCAGCCTCAATTTCCACACACACGAAAAACAGGAAAACAAAAGTACCAACCACATAAGAATGTTGTAAGCATAAGATGAGCTAACACAGGCAGGGCTTAGCCCAACTCCTGCTGCAGCATTAATAAAATACTAGGTATTACTTTGGTACCATCCTTTATTTTCATGCATCCACGCAGCTGTTTATTACTTCATCCCTTCAGCAGAGATGCCTGTAGGTCTAGCTTCATACTACACAATTGACACCACATACAGAATGGTTTTCACGAACCCATGAAAAGTTCTTGGGCACAGTCCAGAGCTTCTTGTCCTTCTCTCTCCTGCACTCCACTGCCCAGACCAAACTTTCTGTCTTCTAGGATCCCGATCTCATGATGCATCTTCCATGGATGGCTCCACCCTTCCCAGATCTGATGACTTAGCCATGGAACGGCTTTGGCTTTCTGTATGCAAGCTTGGTGTCAAGATTGGTTCACCTGCTTCCTCCGCCTACGTGAAAGCTGCTACATATCATATCTGCACTAGTCCAGGCCCTGAGATCTCACACTGGGAGAAGAATTTAAATTAGATGTTTGATGCGGTTCCTTTTAGATAATGAGGTAGCACTGAAATGGAAAATTTCACACCTTCTGAGTTCTCTGTAAGTAAAATTGAATATAGATAATCTTTTGGAAGGGATCTGCCAGGGTTTATTTATAGCTGGGTTAATGAGAGTGGGGGGAGGTAGAGTGTGGTGTGTACCAGATTCTGACTAGACACTCACTGTTTCAGTTACTCACCGCTGTGTAACAAACAACTCCAAAACTCAGTGGATTAAAACAACAATGCAATCTTTTTACTGCTCATGATTCAAAGGGTCAAGAATTTGGAATATATAGAGAATATATTCAACATGATTTTATATATAATCTTCCCTGGTGGCATAGTGGTAAAGAATCCACCTTCAGTGCAGAAGATGCAGGTCCAATCCCTGGGTCAGGAAGATCCCCTGGAGAAGGAAATGGCAACCTACTCCAGTATTCTTGCCTGGAAATGTCCATGGACAGAGGGGCCTTGCAGGCTATAGTCCATGTGGCTGCAAACAGCCAGACACAACTGAGTGAGCACACACATGCATAACACTGTTATAAAACCTCTTTAAGTTTACTAAAGCCCCACCTACAAAAGATATATTTAAATTAGAGGGCAAAAAGTCTTAACTTGGGTTATATTAACTAATATGTAGAAATGGATTCTGTGCAGTGATACACATCACCAGTTAACATGCATTAATATGTTGGTAACCAAATTGGTACATCCGAATATGTAGAGTTCCAGAAACCAATATTGTATTATTCAAGAAATCCAGAAAGAATAGGCAATGGAATTATGCTGATTTTTAGATATAATTTTCCAGTAGTTTAAAAGGAATAAGTTTTTCATTTAAAAAGCCAGCAGGATCAGCAGGCAACTAAGTTCTGTTTTAGTTGGAAATCAGTGGGTGGGAATATAAAGTCATATTTTTTTTTCCTAAATGGAACTAGAGAAGCAGCAGATCTAACAAGTTGTAATCAGCCAAATTTCTTTTTTTATAAATGCATGAGTAGAAACTTGGGGTTTTTCTTTTTTCTATGGTATTTTTTAATCCAGCAGAGCAGTAGCAAATCACCTTTGCAAATCTCCTTGCAAATTTTTGCTGCACAAAAGTCTTTCTTCCAAGGAGGTCAAAAGAAGCTCATCTGAAATCTCACAAATCTGCGGGAAATTGGGGGATTTAAGAGGTCAAACTAGCCCAGGGCCATTTGCATGTGAAAGTAAAAGGAGTGTGATTGTCTTACAGGCCCTCACTTGTCCTTACTCCAAAGGGATGGAAATGCAGCGGCCCAGGGGCGCCAGTTCCCTGGAACAAGAATGGGGAAACCTGTTCCGCCAGGGATGGTGAGAGGGGTCAGTTACCTTAAATGGCTGAGAGTGCATTGAGCCAGGGTAAGGTACAAGCGGGAATCTGAGAAAGGCTTCTAGGGCTCAGGGCCAGAGAAGGGGGGTCACCTGATGGCTGCAAATGAGGACCGAGATGGGTCATATCAGCTTCTGCCCCTTACAAGCCGCCATCCTCAACCAGTTCCTTCACCTACATAGTAGGATTTATGATGCATACACACCAGTTTTTGTTTGTTTGTTTTTGGCCAATCAAGTGATCAAAAAATGCACATGAAGGGCTCAGTTCAATTCCTGGCATGTAGGAATACCCAATAAAGGGCCCAAGAGGCAACAGCAGATCTAAAATTGGTCAATGAACCAATAGCTCAAGATCCAGCTGGGTACCCAGGGCAGAAAAGGAAGTAGGAAGATGTACCCCAGGGAACATCTTTGGGGTTCCTTAACACACTGTTAGGTTGGGGTGATTGGGCACTGATTTAGGCTGGTTGCTGTCGCATCCAACATAACAATGGCATTAAACACTAATGTACCTTAACCACCTTAGGTCATTGCTCCAAGATTTCCATTACCCACTTCCTTGGCCTAGAAGTCTTGTAGGAACTTTGATAGCCTCCCTTCTACTATGCTCCCTAAAATGTGTCTCCAACACTGTAAGATTCTATAGCCATCATGTGTTGGAGGCACTGTCCCTCTTCTGGTCCAGGCTATCACTAGTCCACACCATGTTTTCAAGGATGACACCCACAAAGTTTCCATACATCGTTGTTCATACTCCAACTCTAGCCCCTCCCAAAGCCACCCACATCTGGTCTAAAGCCTTCCACAGCTTCCCAAGGCCAATCCTGACCTGGACCCATTTTGCCTATTTCCTCATGTCCGTGTCCCTCCCAGGGCCCCCAGAGCCATCTATACTGGCCTTCTCCACACACTTATGAGAGCTCTCACTCTTTCTGGTCACTCACACTATTCTCTTTGTATTTTAAAAGAAGAGCTATTTACTTCTCTTATACAAACTATACTGTGCTGTCAGGGTCTGACGTCTTTTCTAGTTCTGTGTTTCAATGCGCCTAGCTAAGCTTGATCCTTAGTGGGTGCATCATGAATACACATTAAATGCTACAGAGGAAAACCCAGGTCACTCTAAAGGACAAACATTTTGGTGTGAATTTCAGAAGATGCCCTAGGTTGAAAAGTTACTCATCCAAGAATCTCTCACGGAGAGATAAGCCAGCTCTACTCTTTGAGTTGTCTATAATTAGACCATGACAAATAGGTTCAGAGCATGTCATAAAGAGTAATCTTTTCGTGAGCAGAAGCTCTCTTGCCCTTGAGATACTTTCAGTGTCACTCTAATCTTGTATTCTGAAATCTTGGTTATATTTCTGTCAGAGGCAACTCCTGATTTCCTTCTCTGTGGGTGGACAGTAGAGATATGAGGTGTCTCAGACAGTAGAGAAGTCCACAATTATATATGCTCAGCTATTTGACAATTCAGTGGCATTCAACATGATCAGTATACCCTAAGTGAGTACCTAAGACAGGCAAAATGCAAAGCTATAAAAATAAGAGGGAAGATGGGCAAACACAAATACAATAATTATCCAGTTTGACCAGAATGTAAGGTGCTAATAGGTACATATAGACAATGTCACTGGAGAGGTAAATTAAGAGTCATAGAAAGACATGAATTCCTAACTTAACAATGATGGATTGCTGCAGACTGTACATGGGTCCCACCTCTTAGCAGACAAGTGTAGACATCATGCCTTTGCAGTGTGACCTCTGCCTTGATATACCAACAAGACTCATAGCTTAAAATACATAGGGTTCATGTTTCCACTTCATCTTTGTCGTGAGGTGGGAGGTTCTCAGGTCAGGTTGCTTCCCTAGGTCCGTGGTCTGAAGAAAGTGCTGAGGGCTGAGGGAATGGATCCAGAATCCTCAGTTCAGAGGAATCAGCTCAAGCCTTCCAGCAGGGAGACACCGGGGTCTTCCCGGGAAGAGATGTGAGAAGTATCAGGGAGCCGCTGATACCTGGAGCAGGCAGCGAGGCAGGGTGCCCCGGAAAGACACCTTGATCTCCAGCAAGAGGTGGGTGCAAATCATGCTTGGTCGTTTATTTGTTTTGTGGCTTTGGATGTCATTAACTTTCTGTATCTCTAATCATTCATCTGTCCAATGGGAGAAGGTAAACATTCTTGGCTGAATGGACAATTTTTTTTTTCCAAAATTGTGCCCATTTCTCTAATGACAAATTGTTCAAAATTTCTAAAAAGAAGCTAAATCTGGACTTGGGATCTACAAATACAGTTTAACAAGATGAGCAACTCCAGGACAAGGAGGCATCCACAGGGGTATAATAAGGGCAACATTAGACACAGAATGACTGTGCATCATGAGGACAACTTTTTGACTTAACCCTTTCCTTTTCACCGTGCAGAATAAATGAAGGGTGCTACCTGTGGGTTTATTACTTTATTTTTGGCAGCTCCAAAATCACTGCAGATGGTGACTGCAGCCATGAATTTGAAAGATGCTTGCTCCTTGGAAGAAAAGCTATGACCAAACTAGACAGCATACTAAAAAGCAGAGACATTAGTTTGCCAAGAAAGGCCCATCTAGTCAAAGCTATGGGTTTTCCCAGTAGTCTTGTATGGATGTGAGAGTTGGACTATAAAGAAAGCTGAGCTCCAAAGAATTGATGGTTTTGAAGTGTGGTGTTGGAGAAGACTCTTGAGAGTCACTTGAACTGCAAGGAGATCAAACCTGTCCATCCTAGAGGAGATCAGTCCTGAATATTCATTGGAGGAACTGATGCTGAAGCTGAAACTCCAATCCTATGGCCAACTGATACAAAGAACTGACTCACTGGAAAAGACCCTGATGCTGGGACAGATTGAAGGCAGGAGGAGAAGGGTTCAACAGAGGATGAGATGGTTGGATGGCATCACCGACTCAATGAACATGAGTTTGAGTAAGCTCTGGGAGTTGGTGATGGACAGGGAATCCTGGCGTGCTGTGGTCCATGGGGTCACAGAGTAGGATATGACTGAGAGACTGAACTGAACTGAACCTGTGGGTAACATCAAAGGGTTCTGTGAGATTTACAATGAGATCACAGGAGCACAATTGTTTTGTAATCTGTAAAGTCCCACACTGATGCTACTGATGGTGGTGGTGATGGTGACAACGATAATGATGGCGATTTTGGTGATGATAATCATGATGATGACTATGGCAATGATTCTTAAGGGTTCAGTCCCTGGGGGAGCATGCAACCTTGGCCTGTTTTTTTTCAAACTTTCTTATATACATATTTATGTATACTCATTTACCTATACCATCCAATATTGATAGAATTTAAGGAAGTTTCATAAAAGCCTAGTAGTAATTGCATGTTTTGAAAATAAAATGAAATTGGAAATAGAAATAAGAAACAGAGTAATGCCATTATTTGGGGTGTAGAAAAGTCGGTATAATCTCTGGTCCCTCAGCTCCTGGTCACCAAGGCAAAAAGAGAGCATGAACCATCCAATGCTTTCACTACCAGAGCTGAACAAATTGGCCTGTTCTTCAGGAGAAGTGACTGATACCCTGATACTAAGCTCCAATAAGAATATTTCTAGGGGGTCTACAATCAGAAATAAAGTCCAGAAGAGCAGCTTTAAGAGGACCAAAATCAGATCAGGAAGAATGGGCATTCTAGGCAGGGAAGCAGCATATGCAGACATGGTCAAAGCAGCCAACTGCCTTCTACGGCCACAGGCGGGTGTCCAGGAAGTATGTGTCCAGAAGAGAATATGAATAAACCAGTCAGAAAACAAAATTGAAGGACTAATTAGCTCAGAAATTCAGCCAAGCAAACATGCCGGCCACTTCAATGAGTCTGTATGTTATCGAATATTATGATAGTCACGAGTTTATGGAGCTAGTGGTAAAGAACCGCTTGCCAGTGCAGGAGACATAAGAGATGCAGATTCAATCCATGGGTCAGGAAGATCCCTTGGAGGGGGAAATGGCAACCCACTCCAGTATTCTTGCCTGAAAAATTCCATGGACAGAGGAGCCTGGTGGGCTACAGTTCATAGTGTCACAGAGTCGGACAAGACTAAGGAGACAGCATATACACATATAAACTTAAACTGAAGCCTTCTTTGTCTTTCTCTTGATAAAATCTTTGTCTAAATAGTGCCTAGGAATAAGACTTTTTCTAGAATATTCTAGCACCATAATGCTTCCCCAGCAGGCATGAATATTGGCAATCTTCCAGAGGCAAGGTAACATAGGCTTCCTCCCCAGTGGCAAATTCAGGCTGACGTTTAGAATAAGAAAAACTGAAAAATTCCCAAAGCACTGTGTTGATTAGCTGACCGACCGGGTCGTACTGAGTTTGGTCAGGGTATTTTCTGCAACACGATGATGCATAGATTGACCTTGGGATAGCAGAGCTAAACAAGTAATGATGGCTAACAGTTCAGAACCCACACTGGGAAACCTGACTTCTACTGCATGCCAGGTCAGGAAGACATTAGAGATCCAGGTAAGTAATCCATCACCCCATCCTTCATTTCTGGGCTCTCAGCCCCTCTCTGCTCTTTGATCCCACCTCTTTGCTCTCTCCCTCACCAAACCTTTCCTCCTTCATCTTTTTCTTTTCCTCTTCCTTTTTCTCTTCCTCTCTCTCTCCTTCTTCTTCCCTTCAACTCTCTCTCAAAAAATTTAGGAAAGTGCTTTATTCTTTGTCTTCAATATCACACTGGCATGTCTAGAAATGGGTCATTTTCCCCTCATTCTGCCCCTTCGTAGGAGAGTTCATTCAATCCAATTACTCATCTATCCTTTCAGCTCTAGGGGATAAAAAATCTCCTATTATGTCTTTGTTAATTTCTTACTCATCTGCTTTCCTTTCCTCTCAATAGATTGTATGTTGGGTTTGGAGGCAGAACAATGGTCCCTCAAAGATGCTTATGCTTGGGCTCGGTAGCCAAGCCACGTCTGACTCTTTGTGAACCCATGGACCATAGCCCACCAGGCTCTTCTATCCATGGGATTTCCCAAGCAAGAATACTGGAGTGGGTTGCCATTTCCTCCCCCAGGGAATCTTCACAACATAGAGAAGGAACCGGTGTCTCCTGCGTTGCAGGCAAACTCTTTACCCACAACGATGCTCTTGTCTAGTTCTCGGAATCTGTGACCCTCAGTGGCCAGAGCAAGAAGGGGGCTCAAGAATCCCTACCTCAGTCCTGCAGACGAGTTGTCTGAAGGAGGGAACGGCTAAGGGGACAAGGATTTCGTGAGCAGCTACTAGCTCCTCTGTAAACCTTTCAGACTGCATTCTCTGCCTTCGCAGCACATGGCGACAGATTGTTGAATCTCTAGGAGCCAGAACTCTGAATTTCATTTAGTATTTAATTAACTGGAATAGACTAAGAACTCTGTGGCAGCCCCCTGATTGCAATCTGTGGATGGATGGGCGTTTTTATCTGAAAATGATGACCAGCTTATCTTCTGTCGTGCAGCTATCACACATGATATGTATCTCTCGTTATCCCAGCCAATCAAACACAGAAAGTTTATTAAGATTCTATCACTCGAAGTTATCACCAATGATAGGATTTTTCCTCTGAATGTGCTTCTGTGCAATACCGTATTTTGTCTAAGAGACCCTCAGGGAAAAACGAGACAGGGCAGGTTATCATTAACGAGCACGCAGTGAATCCGCAGTCAATGACCAAGTCCCTGAAGGAGTGAGGCCACCCAGAACCCGAGTAACCTCATCGTTTAAAAAGAAGTTTCTAACTCCTCTTTTAAAAAGAAAAAAACGTTGACACGGCTACAGAGGGAGGAACCAGAGTGATCTTACAGCAAGAAGGGAAAAAAAAAAAAAGAATTGCTTAGGTAAGTAACTGGAAAGGCAAGCCTTATGATTCTGTATTTTGCTAAAAGTGGTCTCTGAGCATCCTAGAAGCCATAGAAAAGAAGAAATTTGATCAATTCTGAGATTTGGGGGTCTTAATAAATGAATCCATGATTTATGAGAAGCCAGCTTTCATTTGCATCTTCTATGAACAGGAAATTTGGAGAAGAACTCACTTTCTCAAACACTCAAGTGTTAATCCATGCAATCAACATATCTCTCTTGATATATGATCGCCCTACTGGTGCTGGATTTTCGGTGCTATGTAAAACTTACCTGTGGACAAGGCATTCTATGTGACAAGGAGGCGGTGAGACAATTGTAGTAAAATGTGAGAATGCTTCCATGGAGGCGTGCAAAGCACCCACTGAGGACGTAGGACCTCAGCTGATCTCTTGAGCTCTGAAACTATGGATATTTTTAGGGACAAGGCAGGGATGTGAAAGAGAGACTTTCATCTTGGTAATGAGGAAGGAGACCTAAGTGAAGCCAGGCATGGAGACGAGACAACAATCATGCATTGTGATTGATTTCCATGTGAGAGGTTATTGATAAGTATTAGTCAGCAGGAAATTATGAGACTTGCTCCTTGGAAGAAAAGTTATAACAAACCTAGAAAGCATATAAAAAAGCAGAGACATCACTTAGCTGAAAAAGGCCCGAATAGTCAAAGCTATGACTTTTCCAGTAGTCATGTATAGATGTGAGAGCTGGACCATAACAAGGTGGAACACTGAAGATGATTTCAAACTGTGGTGTTGGATAAGACTCTTGAGAGTCCCTTGGACTGCAAGGAGATCAAATCAGTCAATCCTACAGGAAATCAACCCTGAAAATTCACTGGAAGGACTGCTGCTGAAACTAAAGCTCCAATACTTGGGCCACCTGATGTGAAGAGCCAACTCATTGGAAAAGACCCTGAAGCTGGGAAAGATTGAGGGCAGGAGGAGAAGGGGTTGGCAGAGGATGAGATGTTTGGATGGCATCACCGACTCAATGGACATGAGTGTGAGCAAACTCCGGGAGACAGCGAAGCACAGGGAAGCCTGGCGTGCTGCAAGCCTGCGGTTGCAAACAGTCAGACACGACTTAGGGACTGAACAACAACCTCCTTTCCCAGGCTGAAAGCTCTGTTGGACCACTCTGGCTTCCCTCTCCAGTGTCACATTCCCAG